TTTGGGCGCAGGCATCTCTGCTTCCATGTGGGGTCCTCTCCCACGGGCTGCGGGTGGATCTCTGCTCCACCCTTAATCTCCAGGGGGGGCAGGGGGGCCGCTGCCATCTCACCATGGGCTGCAGGGGAATCTTGGCTCCAGCACCTCCTCCTGCTCCATCTTCACTGACCGTGGTGTCTGCATGACCATTTTTCTCCGGTCTCAGTCCTCTCTCCGCTGCAGCTATGCCGAGCCCGATGAACCTTTGCAGTGCCGGCAGAACGAACTCCGCCCATGGGTGCCCCGGGAGCGGGGCGCTTTGGAGCTCTCCCAGCCATGCTGCCACAGCCATCACCAGTCGAGCAGCAGCCCAGCGCGGGCAGCCCTGCTCCGCGTCTCCCCTCTCTCCCCTGCAGGTCCCACATGGCTCAAGCTGTTTTGTCCCCTTCTTATATGGACCATTCGCAGAGGAGCTGATCGGCTCGGCCCTGGCCAGGGGGGATGGGGTTCCTACTCATCCAGAGGCTGAACCAACTGCTTTTGGAGCTGGGGAAGCTTCCTGAATCTCCTGCAGGGGCTATTTCTGCAGCCCCTTCCCTGCTACCAAAACCGCACCACACAAACCCAGCACAACCAACCAGTGTAAACAAAGCCAGGGAAGTCTTGACTGACATTATGTCAGAGGCTAAACAAGAGATTATTCACAGTAGATCAGCCATTAAAAAGTGCTATTTTCACATTAAAATAATTAAAATAACAAATATAATATTAAAATAATTTTACAACTGCAGTGTCTAATGGACCCACAGCAAGACAGGCAAAATTCCCCAAACTACTAAGCATATCCTCTTAACCAGCCTCATCCATCAGGGCTGCCTAACATTAACGTGGATGTCTCAAGAATTATTTGTATCCCATACCAAGCATAAATTGCAAAAACTCACCTTTTCAGTTATTACTATTTTTTTTTTAAATTCCTTAAATGTCAATCAGTTGACATTTCTTTTCATAGGAAGAATCAAAAGCCATTCAGCATTCTGAAATGAAATTTTGTTAAATGAAGTCAAGAGTGTACAGCACCCTCTGAAGCGAAAAGCTGCCGCTTAACAGACTTGGTCCAGTCATAAAAAAAATAAAATAAAAAGTCTACTTTCATTCAGCCAGTCTCTCCACATATAATTTTCAGTACAAATCTTATATGGGACAGTGTAAATAAGCAGAAGAAGTATTATTTCATCTAAACCAATACAGTTTTTCAGTCAGTAGAGTTCAAATTTTACTTTCAATTCTGAAGTGAGAATTTGTCTGCCCGATAAATTTGACAGACCTTCCTCCATCTCCCCCCATTTCTTTGTACGAATTGCAATATATCTATCAGTAGAAGTTCTGGCTGCCCATACCTGGAAGTGTTCAAGACCAGGTTGGATGGGGCTTTGAGCAACCTGATGTAGTGGAGGGTGTCCCTGCCCATGGCAGGGGGTTGGAACTAGATGATCTTTAAGGTCCTTTCCAACCCAAACCATTCTATGGAGACACAGTAATTTTTACAATGATGCTTGGTAATTAATCTGATAAGTATATTTATTTGCCCTAATATTTGCTCTCAATTATTAGGACAGAGTTGTAAAATCTTTTTATTTACCTATTTGTATTACAACATGAAAACCAGGCTAAAAAAAAATAATCAAGTTTCTGTATCTACATGTCAAAAGATAAAAAAGTTAATTTCAGTAGTTTCTTGGTTAAACCTCAAATATTCAAGTTCCTTTTGAATATTCTACTCAATATTATTGCATATCAATTTCCTCTGTCTGTGTAACAAAAAAATGGGCAATGATTTGCAGCCTACAACAATCCGACTTCACATTGTGGCAGTCAAAAATGACCTGTAAGGCAAGATGCATTTCAGCTCTCAAACACAGGCTGAGTTTTTCACCAAGAAGCTCAAAGATTACAGCTCATAATTCATAATTTTAGTTTCAAACATGTTCTCATTGCTTCGAAAAGGGCTATTTCCTAGGCACCCTTTTACATGGGTCGCAATGATCCCTTCAGCAATCAGTGAAGACATCCAAATAAACCTGCTTCTCCACCTCCCTTATTGTTTTTGTTACAAAGTCCCTAAGAGAAATAAATACATCACTAAAGAGGAAGGTCTTATTGGCAACATATGCATTCCTTATGTAATAAGAGTTTAAGGAATGATTAACAGAAGAGGAAACTCATGTTGAATTACAGCAAGCAGATCAGAAAGGCTGCATTTGTATTCATGAACAACAATGCAATCACAACAATAAAGAAAGATGTAGGCTTTACTGGAAAATACTGCTTAGAACATACCTCAGTGATTCCTCTCTCAGGCTACAAAAAGCTCCAGACTTCTAAAAATGTCTTCCTTTTACTTTCTCTCTTTTTAAAAAATTCTCACTTGCTATTTTTTGCACAAGCTCCAAAAATTTCTAGCCAATGTTCTAGACCGCAGCCCTATTTCAGACATATTTTCCCTTAAAATAGACAGAAACAAAATTGATTTTCAGAAGACGAAAGCCTTTAACAAACCATCAGAGAAGCTCTTCTCAAATCAATAGCATCCTTTCCCATCAAGCTTCTTCATAAATTCTATCAATTAAAAACAAAAAAGAATTCTAAGATTGTAGTTGTAAACTTACATTTGATAAAAATTTCATCTAAAAAAAAGGACCATCTATTACCACTCTCTCTCAGCACATCCTGCAAACGTTAAGTGCCTGTTCCTGAATTTCAGTGAAAGTACTCACACAGCAGAAATATAAGAATTCAATAATTCTTGTCTTACTTATTAAAAGTGCTTACCCCAAGTACTAAATATATGCCACAGGCAGCAATTGATCTTACAGCACTTCAGTTAAGTCTGCAATATATTTAACACATAAAGGAGCCCGGTTTCATCATGTAGAGAAGGATTCAATGTTAGCAGGTAGCAGCTGCCAGTACTTGGATACTGTTATTAGAAATTGTCGAGGCAGTTTATACACACAGCATTGATGTGCCTGCTGGTTCAGGCATTAGGAGCTAGATCACGCACTTGAATCACTCTCTGAAAGGCACCTTAAAATAGAGCTGGTTTTCTGATTGAAGAATACAAAGTGAAGAAGACTAAGTTCTTCCTCAGCTAGGCCTATGCAGCTACCCAGAACAAAATGGGAGCCATTAGTTGACACAACTAAGAAGAAAATGTGGTGCAGTAGTTGTTGCATGTATTGAAGTCATGTGCAGCACATGGAAGCCAATGAGCAGAAAGACTTTCCCCTCATCTGACCTAGTTCTGTCAAAGATTCACACATGGAGATAGTGGGTGTAGAGGTGACACATGCAGTATCTTGAAAAATTTTAGAAGGCAGCAACTCACAGTGAAGAATACCTAAGACCCTGATGGTGGAAGGAAAGCTAGTTGAACTGTAGAAAATTCAGACAGGATATTAGAAGGTTGCCCAGGAATGTAGACATATAAAAAAGTGAACAGATTAAGGCCAAGGCATTTTACAGAAACAAAACAATGCTGGGGAAGAAGTGCCAGAAGGGTGGTAGGTTTCAGAACAAAGCTACCTGGTACTGCAGGTATGTCCTATTTGAAAGGAGCTGCAAATTTAAAGAATCTCCTCTACCCCTCTCTGCTTTATTTTTTTTTTAAGTAGCATGTAAAATATATTATAAAAATCCAGTATAATTGCAAAAACATAATCCAATTTGTTGGATTGTGAATTGCTGATGACTACACTGTGACAGCTGGAGCACAGAAAGGCACTGTCTCCAAAGAGTTTTCATACAAAATAGGAGAAATAAGAACATACAATACAGAAATAAGGAGAGAAGGCTCAAATAAACATTAATTTTTCATTAGATTATTCTAAAAAAAAAAATAATCTATTATCTCCAACTCAATTTATACCCAGCCATTGGTAGCTGAGTAGATTCTGTACAATCAGTGGAACAGGTTGCCCGGGAAGGCTGTGGAATCCATCATTGGAGCTATGCCAAGCCTGGCTGTGCATGGCCCTGAACAAACTGTGGTAGCTGACCCTGTACTGACCAGAGGAATGGACTGGAGGATGTCCAGAGGCCCCTTCCCACTCCAACAATTCCCTGATCAGAACAGAATGGATTTCTGAGAAGATATTTAAGGATGACTGGTTTTCCACAAAATGATTCAGAGACAGTGCTCTATATACATGTGAAAGCCTTGAAAAAAAAGCAGAATACAATTGTGAATGAAGTCTACAAATGTTTGTTAAATCAGTTTTACTGATGGACAGAAGAGGACCTTGGGCAATACCATGCAAGAAAAGCATTGGTCATCACTGATGAATAGACTTATGGAGGAACCTGACAGTGAGGAGCAGCAAAATAAAATTCACAGTCTGGAAATGAAAGACCCAAAAAAAGTCTAATTACCTACTTAAATCTAAATTTAAGAAATATACACAACCATGACAGGTGTCTGAGGCAAATCTGAATCCAACATAGTCAATACTCCAGTCTTTCTGGATGTTTCACTAATTTTCATCACAGTTTCTGAGCAAGCCACTGTGTCTATTAGTAGAATGCAACAAACAGGAATATATAAAATGTCCCCTCATATAAAAGGGACTACATTCTTAGGTCAAAAGTGATCAGTGACCTTCCTGGAGAAAGAAAAAAAAAACACTCTTGATGAAAGAAAGACATGACAGAATTGGAACTATGCGAGCCACCTCAGTACACATTTACTGAAATTTAATGGGCTTTGACCTAGACTTACAAAATAATTGAACTGACACAAGGGTCTTGCTCAAAAACATCCCCAAAAATACCTTCAAAAAGTGTGCTTTATTTTGTCAAACCGAACTCCAAACCCAGAAATTCAAAAGGAGAAACCATTTTTTCCTCTGTTATCTACTCTTTCCGCTTACACCACAGGGCTATGGTAATTACTACATGCCATTGTATAACACATATATGTTCTTGCCCACCCCAAAACAGAAGTTTTGTTTGTTACCTCTTACCGACAGTTATTTTGACAGTTCTTTTCTGAGAGTCCATCCTCATCTTCTCCCATAATATCCACTGCCGAAAATATCAGTGCAACCAGAATTGCAAAGCAGCATACCAGTGCAAAGATCACAATGCATCTTTGCTGGGACTGAAAGAGATTAAGATTAAAAAAAATTTAATGGCATGAGCACATTCCAGTCAATGACTTGAGACTCTACAACTTTTACTTAAGATCTAAATTTTTTGAAGATCTTACTGCCGTAGCTGTCAACATGAAACACACCTCAGGATGAAAACAGTCTCAAAACTGTCCTTCAGATATCACCTTGAGATGTACTTTAAATCTTTCAGACATTGTTAAATAATTCATGTCACAAATAACATTCATGATTTAAACTGTTTTCTGTTTGTACCACAAGGAAATGCATTAAAATAATGATTCTTACATTAACTACATATTTTCTGGTTGTGCCTTGCAGGTAAAGTACACACTTAGGATGGCACTCAAAAGTCTTGAGAGTTTTGGTGTGTTGGGCTGAAATCAAACATGTCATTGAAAGAACACTGAAGAGCAAACTCATTTTTTTAATTGCTACACAAAGTAGCTGACACTGTTACTATGATCGTCACAGCAACTCAGGAGCTTTGGCAAGTCCTTGCCCCGCAGTACTTAAAATATAAGGAAAATAAATTCACAGATGATAGACAGGATTCAAGGAAACACTGGGAGACTGTTGCTCAATATAATAGGCAATGCTCTCCACATCTCGGATTAAATATTAAAACGTGGCATAGCACTACCTTATTCTACAATATGAAATCCTGCAGTACTAAATCAGATACAACTGTGTAAATCTCCTAAAGACAATCTATTGACATACAATTTACATAGTTGCATAAGCGTAAACTATATTTTATTCTGAAACCAAATGTTTAAGCAAATATAATGTGTGTTGTTCTACTGAAGAAAATTTGCACAAAACCACACTATATATAAAAATATAAGAGTTTAACTTCTGTTGCCAAAGTTGTTTTATTATTGTCATTATTGCCCTGTAATTAAAATTTCACATAAAGTAAAAAAGCTTTATAAGGAATGGGAAAGTATATGGGAAAGCAGGAAAAGTGTAAGGGAAAGGAAGCAATGTCATGGGTGCAGCTGAAAACCAACTTCATAGTATTTCCATTGTTCCTGACATTTCATTTAAGAGATAGTAAGTTTCAGAGTAATAAGAACGTTCCCCCATATGCATAAAGAAAATGCATGACATTTTTTTTTAAATAAGCTTCCAAAACTTCCAAACTAGTGCACATCCCAGAAGAAACAAGCTCATGCACTTCAGAACAAACCAGATATAAGCATTTTATTTCAGTCTGTGAAAATTTAAAACATGGTAAACAACTTCTTTAGACAAACAGGAACAACTTTTCTGAAATTTAGTGAGAAATGTATCCTTTTGTCTAAAAATAACAGTGAATATGCTGCTTAGGTTATATGTATATTTTAAATATAATGCATATTAGACACTATATACATTTCAAATATATGTTTAAATTCTGTGTTTTCTAATATTTTACCTAAAATCTTACAAGAATGCAGCGTAAGAAAATCTTCTCCAAGCATTTATAAAGTCTACTTCTGAAACAAACAAAATTTGGACCTTTTTTCCCTGCTTCTAGGTATAATCATGGCAACATATGAAAAGAATTAGAAATGACTGCATTTGGGTGTCCAGAACTAAGGCTGGAGTCAGATGCACAGTAGTACTTCAGAGAAAAATTTTAAAACACTACTTCATTGCCTCATACTACTGGCAAGAAAAACTAAGAAGTGCCAAAGATAAAGAGGTGTTCAGATCTGGGACATTGCTTTATCCCATTTCTTCATCAGGATGGTTCACATTCTTGTCTCATGCAGGTTTTTACAGTTCTGTGAGTGTATTTGCAGAAACTGTTTGATGCAGCTTCTTCCAAATGCTGAGCGTATCACCATGGCAGCAAGACAGCAAAACTGCTCCCATATCAGTGAGCCAAACAGAGCCAGGGCTCATTCTCCAGCCTCTAAGAGCAGTGGCCGTGACCCAGTACGGCGCACACAATACTACCATTCTTTTTCCTCCCAAACCAGGATAACGGCAGCCATTCTACTCACTGGGAACAGCCCTGAGTCCATATTTTCGGCATATCTGTAGCAACAGGGTCCTAACTACCACACAGTATAAATTACTTCATGCCTTTGCTCCAGGGAATAGCTCCCATCATCTTGCTACATCACCATGCAAACAAGAAAACAACCACAGAGAGTTGCAGGGTCACTGGACTAGCAGGGACCATGGTAGTCTTCAAGGCTGGGCCAGGACACATGGAGGCAGCAAGACATGTTTCATGAAAAAGAGTCCACAGTACCTCTGTCACATATGTTGGAAGTCAGAAAATAGCCCTAAAAACCTTTTAACCAGCTTAAAACTTAAAGGTCAAAAGCTATATAAAACCTACAGTGTATCAAAAATGATAGTATCACAAGGGGGGCGGGGGGGGGGGGGGGGAGGTGTCTATATTTCTATATAATCACTACCATAAAATTTCCTAGTATCGTTCTTTCAATACTAGGAAATTTTATGGTAGTGATGTATAGGTGGCTATGTTCAAGCAACATGGAAAGGGAAGGCCAAAATTATTCTGAATGGATCCTCCTAATCCAGCTTTAATTCTCATTCCATGTAAATCTGGGGAACATACAAGGCTTCTTGATATCTGCGTTGTAGCTGAGGTTTAAATCCCTGTTTTTTCAGAATGCATATGTACAGCTTGTTAAGTTCTGCATTTTCACTGACTGTTGCTCACAACAAGCAGCACAAAGTGAATACCACTAGTAAGACCACTGCTATTCTACCAGCACTAAAATAAAGACAGAACTGCACAGATCTCATTTACTGCTCTTATTTACACAGATCCTTTATATTATGCATTTGTGTTTGACAACTATAACGGATTAGTTATTTCACTTTTTCTTAAGTACCAGCTCACAGTATGGTTACAACTAGTGTAGAGGACCTTTTAAATCCATACAGGAAAAACGAACCACCTTATAAAACTCTGACAATAATATTTTTTCTTTGAACTAAGGAGAGTACAAAATACTAAATTAAAAAAAAGCAAAAATTCCAAGTCTGCAATTCTCCTAACCCTACATTTTTAGTCACAAGTCTGAAGGGTCAGGTAAAGACCATTTAAAAAAATTCATACAGCTAGTAAGGAGGATTTTGAATGGTTATACAGTTCATCTTGAAATTACTCCTGCTGAGTGGTGATTTTTTTGATTGCTTTTAAATCTATATATTACATTAGAAATGAATAATTGAATATTGCTTAGATTCAAATTGATGTCTATGTTAGAAAACAAAGAATAAAAAATAGCCAGTGGCACCAAACAAGTCTTCCAAGCCTTTCTTTTGACAATGGTAATAAATCTTAATTTTCACGCACTAACACCGTACTGTGGGTAACTTTCTAATAGGCTTTTTCTAATTAAAGTAGATTAGAACAGATCATGTCACTGTTCTGTTCTAACATCCGTGCACGCCTGTGTGCATGTGTGCGCGCATGTGCAAGTAATAGCAGGCTTCTTGGAAGAAGTCAAAATAGAAGAGCTCATGCCATGGACAGACCAGAAGGAATCTGCTATTATCTATTATCTCTTCGGACTCTCGCATCAGTGGGCTTGGGCAGACTGTTTGCTTGCTGCTATGTTGTTTGTATCCCCTTAGCAACTGGGATCCCTCAGAGCTTATCAGACATATCCTCCTGCTTCCTTCAGTAAATGCCTAAAACTCCTCTGTGTTTAAGCTTTCGGTCTTCGAAACTTAATCACAGAATATAGGGTCGGGAGGGACCTCTAAAGCTTATGTAATACATGTGTCCATATACATACTTAATTTACACAAATTTTACTTCTAGTAGATATTTCTCTAACCTGTCCCTAAAAACCTGCAGTTGTAAGAGATCCTACAGTCTCTTTCACCAACCCATCCCACGCATTATTACCTTATTGATGCCTAAACTTAAGTCTCTTATGCTGCAATATTTTTTTTTTCCTTTCTCATACTTGTTGAAAAGAGAGAATAGAGTATTTCATTTTTTCCTGCTGCAGTCTCTTACACATTGAAGACTTCTAGAGATGCTAAGAGGCCTGGGCCCAGAGTATCTACAAGCTTCACTGGACCTGTCAGAGAGAAATCATGGCGGAGATTTTCACTGTTAAGAGGGCAGGGATTTCTCTACTGCAAGCCCAGAAATTCTGTCACATGAGAAAAAGATTTTTTCACAGCTTATGGAAGACTGGGAAAGAAACTCCTGCTGGAACAAGGACTATCAAAAATGCTGCTATTTTCCACTTCATGAGCAAAACTTTAAAACAAATCCACCAAAACACTGTGTTTACTAAAGCAAAGCATGGTATTTGTCATGCTGTTAGACCTCTAGGTAGGGAATGAGAAAAAGAGCAAAAGCTGAACAATGGGTATGCAGTGCAGTACTATTCAGACTAGATTTTAATCCAAGAAGGATTCTATCTGTTGGTTTATTATTAAGAAAAAGGATAGTCTATGTCAGCAAAGGTTGCATCAGAGCCTGTGCTACCCAGGCAGAATTTAAAATGAGAGTAGGAAAGAAAAAGGCCTCCATCTTGACTGCACTCCTGTTGCTCAAAAACTCTTAAGAACACTTTAATGGCCCATAAAGCTTTCTTTTTTTTTTTTCAAAACCAACAGATATCTGTGCAACACACTAAATTTAATCAGAAATTTACTTTTCCCTCAATACAGTACAAAAATGTAGTTTTCTCCCCAAACAGGAACCATGAAATTGCAATGCTGCATCTACTGAGAAAGCTGAGCACATAACAACCAGACATGTCATGGCTTTGAACTAGTGCTTTATTTTTATATCTATTTAAAGACTAAAGGTGCTAATATTTATACAGCATACTAATACGGAGTTCATATCTGCTTGTCAGAACCACAGTGGTTGTAAGAGGTAGGTTTTCACATCTTCTGTCATATTGGCAGTCTGCTCTTTCCTGCAAAATGTCTGAACACCAGTGTGAGAACAAAAGCACTCATTTTCAATGCTGGTAACCTGTTCAACTGT